TTCTCCCTCATATGCAGACATTAGATCAAGGGCAAACACAACAAGGGGATTGGACCTTGATCACATTATAAAGCGGGAGCATACAAGGGAGGTATGAAGATAGGTAAAACACCTAAAAAACTAGATAGCATTTGTTGCCCTTAACGCAGAGAAACTCAAGCAGATACTTTAAAGCAACTGAGGCCAATAGGAGAAGGGGACAAGGAACTAGAGAAAAGGTTAGTTCAAGAAGAATTAACTTAGAAGATGACACACATGTACAGGAAATCAATGTGAATCAACTCCCTGTATAGCTATCCTTATCTCAACTAGCAAAATCCCTTGGTCCTCCCTATTATTGCTTATACTCTCTCTTCAACAAAATTAGAGATAAGGGCAGAATAGTTTCTGCCAGGTAGTGAGGGGTAAGGGGGGGTAAGGGAGGGAGCAGGGGAGGGGGGGAAGTTAAGGAGTGGGGGAAGGGGGGAGAAATGACCCAAACATTGTATGCACATATGAATAAAATAAATTTTTTTAAATGATTTAACTCATGTTTTATTGGGGTCCAGAATGTTCCCCAAACGCCCATGTTTTATTTTAATTTTTTTTCATTTTTCTTTTATTATTCATATGTGCATACAAGGCTTGGTTCATTTCTCCCCCCTGCCCCCACCCCCTCCCTTACCACCCACTCCCCCCTCCCTAACCACTCCCCCTCAATACCCAGCAGAAACTATTTTGCCCTTATTTCTAATTTTGTTGAAGAGAAAGTATAAGCAATAATAGGAAGGAACAAGGGTTTTTGCTGGTTGAGATAAGGATAGCTATACAGGGAGTTGACTCACATTGATTTCCTGTGCGTGTGTGTTACCTTCTAGGTTAATTCTTTTTGATCTAACCTTTTCTCTAGTACCTGTTCCCCTTTTCCTATTGGCCTCAGTTGCTTTAAGGTATCTGCTTTAGTTTCTCTGCGTTAAAGGCAACAAATGCTAGCTAAATTTTTTAGGTGTCTTACCTATCCTCATCCCTCCCTTGTGTGCTCTCGCTTTTATCATGTGCTCATAGTCCAATCCCCTTGTTGTGTTTGCCCTTGATCTAATGTCCACATATGAGGGAGAACATACGATTTTTGGTCTTTTGGGCCAGGCTAACCTCACTCAGAATGATGTTCTCCAATTCCATCCATTTACCAGCGAATGATAACATTTCGTTCTTCTTCATGGCTGCATAAAATTCCATTGTGTATAGATACCACATTTTCTTAATCCATTCATCGGTGCTGGGGCATCTTGGGCTGTTTCCATAACTTGGCTATTGTGAATAGTGCTGCAATAAACATGGATGTGCAGGTGCCGCTGGAGTAACAGTCTTTTGGGTATATCCCCAAGAGTGGTATTGCTGGATCAAATGGTAGATCGATGTCCAGCTTTTTAAGTAGCCTCCAAATTTTTTTCCAGAGTGGTTGTACTAGTCTACATTCCCACCAACAGTGTAAGAGGGTTCCTTTTTCCCCGCATCCTCACCAACACCTGTTGTTGGTGGTGTTGCTGATGATGGCTATTCTAACAGGGGTGAGGTGGAATCTTAGCGTGGTTTTAATTTGCATTTCCTTTATTGCTAGAGATGGTGAGCATTTTTTCATGTGTTTTCTGGCCATTTGAATTTCTTCTTTTGAGAAAGTTCTGTTTAGTTCACATGCCCATTTCTTTATTGGTTCATTAGTTTTGGGAGAATTTAGTTTTTTAAGTTCCCTGTATATTCTGATTATCAGTCCTTTGTCTGATGTATAGTTGGCAAATATTTTCTCCCACTCTGTGGGTGTTCTCTTCAGTTTAGAGACCATTTCTTTTGATGAACAGAAGCTTTTTAGTTTTATGAGGTCCCATTTATCTATGCTATCTCTTAGTTGCTGTGCTGCTGGGGTTTCATTGAGAAAGTTCTTACCTATACCTACTAACTCCAGAGTATTTCCTACTCTTTCTTGTATCAACTTAAGAGTTTGGGGTCTGATATTAAGATCCTTGATCCATTTTGAGTTAATCTTGGTGTAGGGTGATATACATGGATCTAGTTTCAGTTTTTTGCAGACTGCTAACCAGTTTTCCCGGCAGTTTTTGTTGAAGAGGCTGCTATGTCTCCATCGTATATTTTTAGCTCCTTTGTCAAAGATAAGTTGCTTATAGTTGTGTGGCTTCAAATCTGGGTCCTCTATTTTGTTTTTATTGTTATTGCTGTTTTTATTGTTATTGCTTTGTAATATAGTTTGAAGTCAGGTATTGTGATACCTCCTGCATTGTTCTTTTGACTGAGTATTGCCTTGGCTATTCGTGGCCTCTTGTGTTTCCATATAAATTTAACAGTAGATTTTTCAATCTCTTTAATGAATGTCATCGGAATTTTGATGAGAATTGCATTAAACATGTAAATTACTTTTGGGAGTATCGACATTTTTACTATGTTGATTCTACCAATCCATGAGCATGGGAGATCTCTCCACTTTCTATAGTCTTCCTCAATCTCTTTCTTCAGAAGTGTATAGTTTTCCTTGTAGAGGTCATTCACATCCTTTGTTAGGTTTACACCTAGGTATTTGATTTTTTTGAGGCTATTATAAATGGAATTGTTTGCATATATTCTTTTTCAGTTTGTTCATTATTAGTGTATAGAAAAGTCTTAGTCCCACCTTAATGTTTTGGGAAATTGGTGGAACATTCAAGAGGTGGGCCCTAGTGGGAGGTATTCTGGGAACACTGGGAGCATGACCTGGAAAGGGACATGGAACCCAGCTATTCCTATTCTCTATCTCTCACCCTTATTTGTCCATGCCATGGGGTAAGCAATTCCTGCACCACACATTCCTTGCCATGATGTGCTCCTTTGCCATGGGTTCAATCCATCATGGATTGAAACCTCCAAAACTGTCAGCCAAAGCAAAACTTTTCTTTTTATAAGCTGATTATCTCAGGGATTGTTGCAGTAACAGCTAAGTAAGAAGAATTTAAAACTCCAGTACCACCACAAAATAAAATCCCAAATAAAACTGACTAACACACCACACTCATCCCAATCTTATACCTCCCTCTTGTATTATCTATGGATTACCTTGAAACATAAAGAAAACAGAGACTGGTCTGTCTTGAACGTACCTGTATATTCTGTTAGTCTCAAATTACATACAAAATTTTGGAACTAGACTACCTGAAGTATGAAAATAAACTAAAATGGGAACAAAACCTTGCAAATTGTACATATTATAAGCCATATCTCTACACAACGATTTCTTCTCAGATAAGCATCTCCCCACACAGTCACAGAACAAATTCATATTCCATAATAAGTACTGGAAGCATAATTGGAACAGATGGGGAAAATAGGTATATAGATGCAATTTTTAACTTTAGAGACCCTACGTATGTTCATATCTTCCTACCAGCTCTTGGCATCTTATATGACACACCAACATTAGAATGATCTAGGCCTGTCTAAAAGCTTACTACCATAGATTTCCTACCACACAGTGCTCAGTCCTCATAAAAATCATTATGATCTCAGCCTTACTTATTTTTATCACAGCCATAAGAGAATTTAGTGAGAATCACTTACACGAAAAATGACCTATTTAGGTACCTATTCCCATTACATTTTGTCCCCTTCAATTTTTCCCTTCCATTTCCATGGGAAAAGGAGCATCATAATCATCTAGATACTTCCTGCTGAAATTGGAGGATATAAGGGGATTCTTCTGATGTAAGCCATGTACCTATCTTGCCAGTCATCTGATGGGTCTTAAGTGCTCCATTAGTGATTTTGTATAGGTGGGGTATACAGCAAAGTGCTAAGAGGAAAAGTATGTATATTGATCCTATAAATAATATGATGGTCACATCAAAATGATGGTCATACCAAAATGGAAGACATCGAATAGAACAATTAGGCATCCAGAAAAACAAACTAGAAAACCAGTCATTTGATTCGGCATCCAGGCCACGTGAAATGGGCCTATGACGCACAGAGTCTTGTTGTAACTATGTACTGTGTTGTCTAATCTTTTCTATATTGGTTTCTACCTAAGAAGAAAATCGAGATAAGTATAACAGAGCATATAGCAATAGAATATATCCTTGCTCAGCTAGCAGGTAGTTCATTGCTATTTGATTACCCAACAAAACTTTTGCCAGGGAGTTTGAGCAATATGGAGCAGCAAATTTTCCTTCCATCCTGCAAAGGGGATACAAAGACCAAAGAAAGTTAGTAGACTCATAAGGACATTCATTTTGCCTTTGTTCTGAACAGAAGCATTAGGTCTGCCAGTGGCTGGCTTTCCCAGTGGGATTCTAGTTGCAGTGGAGTTACCTTGGCTGGACATTTCTTTACTCTCATGCAATGCACTCATGGCTTAACTCCAACTAACTACAAAGAGGTGTGAGACATCAGAAGCACATCATGAAGGTCTTTCCACTTTTCTTCCTCTTGTTGTTCAGGGGACTTTTTCTTTCCAAGTTTTCAGAAATACTTGATCTCCCATCCTGAAGGGATAAAGTGATGTCTCCAACTGGGGTGGTTACCTGGAAAAAGCAAATGAATTTACGGTGGTTAGTACTTACTTATTTGCTGCACATATTGTTTTAATTTAGTCTCTTCTTTTAAGCTTACATTTCCAACACTTATTTGAGGGGCCAAGAAGGATCTTCCATTACTATTTCATAGGGACTCAAACTAAACCCACTCATAGAGTACAACCATCTGTCAAGAGAAGGCAAAAAATCCACATGAAACTCTTTTGCCTATACTTTTATTTTTCCCTGTGCTCCACTAATGTCTTTTTTTTCCCTCTAATTATCCATCTCTCCATTTTGCCTGACCTTGCACTCAAGCATGGCACACAGAAAATGCAACAGGCCCAAGATTCTATAGTGGCTGTTTGCAAGGGGAAGGAAGCTACAGTAACTTCCACATTGGTTTTATTTATTAAATAAGAGAGACAGTATCCTTAATGCTTCTCTCATGGATGAAGAAGCCAGATGGTGGATGTTGCATGGCCCAAGGAGGCAGGAGTAGCAATTCATGGGAAAAATATTGTGACCAAAGTTCAGAAGTGGTACAGTTGCAATCAGCTGGATTTTCCACCTCTCTGCCGTTTGCTTCTACTGTGCAGTGTCCATTTTTCAAAGAATGCGGGCTCTGTAAAGAAGACCTCTGCTTCTGGAACTTGACAGGAAATAACATCCATAACTGTTAGAAGCAACATCAAGGCTTGACTAAAAAATGATTCTGCAATGAAGGGGAGAAAAGGAGAGAATGGAGATTCAGGTTCAACCTGACCCAACCCCATCCAGGCCAATAAAAAGGAAACTACAAGAGAACAACCTTGGACCACATCATTTCTAAAAGGAAGAATTTCACCTTTCTTGTCTACCAAATTACAAAATGAGCTCTTCAATCCTTTCTCTCTCCAGTAAGTCCACTAATCAGATGAATTGAAATAGTTTCATAACAACTATAATTGCTAAACTTCAATGTCTCTTTCCTTCCTCCACAAGGATATAAACCGTATATGCAGTATATAATTGTTATGCCTATTAGAATGTGAAATATAATATACTAATTATAACTTATTAATGAACATTTATAAGATACATTGAGATGATCTCTAATGGGAAAGAGAGACTATCTTGTCTATATTAGAATTTCACCTCCTCAGAGCTCAGCCATATGTGCTCTCTTGTTATTCTCTTCAACCAATCCTGTTTTCTGTCTGGGAATCTGAACTTGCTATTGGCTATTTCAAACCTTTAACTGCCTACTTTATGACATCATTCTCCAACCAAACCTACTGCCACCTGGTAGAATCTTGGGGTTTCCATGGAGTTGTCTGCAAACAAATTTGGATCATCACAAATGACAAGTGACCAGTGATCATTGACCAGTGTGACCAGTGTCTTTGATACTAAACACTTGCACTGTTTGGCTTCATCTACCCAGACATCTTCTGGTATCATTTCCTCATCTCTTATATCTGCAATTGATGTTAACTCTTCTCTGACCATGTCAAGTAAGGAAAGAAACTTTTTTATAAAAACTTTAAATCTAATGAAAAAATTAGATTTCCTCCCTGACCCTAAATTTAGTTGTAGAGTTAAAACAGCTTAGAATAATGGGGGTGGGTATTGAACTAGAACTGTAGAGACCTAATCTCAGTTTTGGCTTTGACATTTACTTTGTGACCTTGTCAGACAGATTGTTTACTCTCTCACAAAATTTTTCCTTATCTGCTGCATGAGGAAAATGGACTGTTCATGTTCTTTTCTGTTCCTTTTTTTTTTTTTTGATACTGTAGTTTGAACTGAGAGCCTATACCTTGAGCCACTTCACCAGCCATTTTTTTGTGTGATGGATTTTTTCAAGATAGAATCTCACAAACTATTTGCCTCGGCTGGCTTCAAATTGTAATCCTCCTGATCTCTGCCTCCTGAGTAGCTAGGGTTACAGGCATGAGCCATGGGTGCCTGGCTAATATTAAGTCTTAAAGGGCATGCATATAGTGAAATCAGAGACTTCTTGAGAGTGTTAGTTCAACAGAAACAGGAAAACCTAGGAGGTATTAAAAAAAACTATGACTATACACCAATATCTTTCATCTGTCACAGTCTCCCTCTACTCATATTCAGTGCTGTTCAAAAAGTAATATTCATGTGTCTGGAGTTTTCTGTTTAAAGTAAGTAAAAAGAGACATAGAGAATGGAAGAGGACTGGGTTATCAGATGGAAAGATTTTCAGAGGAAAAAGTTTGAGATTGTTTACATTAAGTATAGAAACTGAAGGGAATGAAGAAAATACAAAAATGAGAGAAAAGAAAGCATAATAATGAAAGCTTTGGAGAGCAAAGAGATGCTCTCAAGAAACAGGAGGTGGTATGGGACAAAATGTTGGAGAGAACCAACAATTTGGAATTAATGCACAAGGAGCATAGAGCGAAATCTATCCAGAGCAAGGCAAAATGAAGTTGGTTTCAGCAAATACTTGTATTAATGGAAAAGGAAGGTAACTAAGGGTAGAACTGGATATCACTGTGTAAAGGAGCTTATCAGAAAAGTAATTTTGGTTGTTTGGGCAATTTTTTATTGACTCTGGACACAGATGATGCTTGACAGTTTTGAATATGAACATTTTAGAAGTCAACACAGTAAGAAAAGGAGTTATAGAAAAGGCTGGTGTCACGGAATTTTCAGTATCCTATTTCATTCTGACTTTTAAGTCAGAATGCAACTCAAGCTGACCTCAAACACCTGTGCTCAAGCAATCCTTCTGCCTCAGCATTACTGAATGCTGGAACTTCAGATGCACCCGGGATTCATAACAGTTTTATTGAAATATTTGCCTGGACAAAATATGGCTGCTGAATGATGAGGGGGGTAGAAGGGGAGGGGTAAGGGAGAATAACAGAGGGGGTTGAACTGATTAAAGAAAGGCATAATCACCAGTGGATACATTGAGGAACCCCTTTGAATGTTAACTTTAGCATTAATAATGAAAGACAAAACTGTAAAACAGGTATAGTGTGGGAAGGGGGTGAATGAAGGAAATGAAGATGAAGTAATAGGGTTGATGGACTTCACATACACAAAGGAAATAGAACGCTATAACCTCTTGTGATTGCTTTAAGTGGCATGGGGAAGGGATGGCAAGGGGAGTTGGTGGGGGTGATCTAACCAAGGAACAATGCAAAACTACTCAGAATTGGCACAACAAATCTCCCCCTGTACAATTAATGCGTGCTAATGAAAATAGAAAAAAAATTAAATATGGTTAACTAAATGTTCACGTTTACTGCATTTTTCTGCTCCTTACACACTTTTTACTGATACAATGCCTGCATATATGTACTGGTTAGAAATACCTTCAAAATCAAGCTGAGTGGGGTGGTGGCTGCCTATAATTCCAGCCACTCTGAGGATTGCAAGTTCAAGGCCAGCCTGGACAACTTAGTCAAACCCTGTCTCAAAAAAATTTTTAACCCAAAATCATCTTTGTGGTATTTTTTTCTTTTATCAAATAGTGTTCACAAAAATAAAGTAGATAATATTCACATTCTCATAATATCACATGTATGATCACAGGACTTCATTTATTAGTAAATTTACTTGGCTTTGATGCTTGCTACATATCCAGATTTTCATTAATACCTATATATTCTTTTTAGTTCTTTGTAGTTTGTCTCTCTTTGCATAACTTACTATGTATTCCTCCATATAAATCATATATAAATGTCATTTTTATTCTTGGATGACCACTGTTATTATCACCATGTTACTGATGAATAACCTGTGAGTCAGAAAATTTAAATATCTTTTTTCTTAAAAAGCATGTTTTGAGAAACTAACTCTCAGGTACTCATTTTGAATTAAGATCAGAAGTCAGACTTAAAGAGGGTAAACAATGACCCTTTAAATTGATGACCTTGTCTGTGTTGTAAGTGAACTCTATGAAATGACATCTGACCTGTGCAAACAAAATGAGACAGTGAAGATAAAAATGGTAATAGCATTCTGCTGTCTTCCTTCCTTTCTTCTTTCCTTCCTTCCTTTCTTCTTCACTAAAATTGAACTCAGTGAGCTTCATGCTTGCTAGGCAGGGCACTATCACTTGAGCCACAACTCCAGCCCTTTTTGCTCTAGCTATTTTTAAAATATGGTCTCACTTTTTGCCTGGGATGGCCTGGAATTTGATCCTCTTACTTTACACTTCCCACCATAGAGAGGATGATAGGCAAATGCCACCACACCCAGTCATTGGTTGAGATGGGGTCTGGTGAAATTTTTTTTCCCCTAGGCTGAATTTGTCAATCTCAATTTTCATCACCTCTTTCTTTCTACAGAAAATTTCCATAATCCATCTTTACTTGGAACTGAAAATTCTCTGCAGCTCTCGATTCCTGCAGTGAGCAATGCCCCTTCCCTAACAGGAAGCATTTGCAACTTCTCCAGAGTTTCTGGTCCAGCTGTCACTTCAGCATGGCTACTGCCATCAGCCTCTGACACCTCTTTCCAGACACTCATGGGTAATGCCTACCTTTCCCAACATTCTAGCACAACCATGTTGTCTGAGGTTACTGGTGAGAACCAGATCTCTACTTCAGCTGCCTCTTATCCAGGTGTTGACTGGGATATCACAGGAAGCCCTGAAAAGAAGTCATCCTTACTTGGGGATGTCACTGTGACTCTCATTAACCAGGACACAGCAATTTCTTCCATGACTGTGACAACCCAGTATGATAAAACTACCAATGCCAATGCATGGATCCCTCTGTGTCCAGCATTGTCTGCCAACTTTGTTCAAGAGACACCATCTCAGATTCCAAATCAAGGACATAGCTTGTCACTTCCCTACCAGGAAGGAAGCCAGGTCTATTACTATAATCAGAACACATCAGGGCTTCTGTTATCTGGAGAACTTGGCCCTTGCCTACAATCCTATGGCAATGATTCATACACAGGGAGTAGAGCCTCTGCCCCTCATCCAGAAATGGTCATGGTGCTGAAGGAGGTTCAGCCTACAAATGTCCTAACACCAGTTTCCACCACTGGAATCTACTACTCTGTGGCTGCTCAACCCATCACAGAAATGAGTTTTCAAGGTGAGTACAAACAGTAAAAAAAGGGAAAAGAATAGGATTAGCAAGAATACAGAGAGTCTAATCTGCAACTGAGTAGTGGTGAATCCATATATAAGGTAAAGTTCAAGTCCAGAGATTCCAAAGACTACTCTCACTCAGTGCTCTTCATGTTCTGATTGGATATAAGCTGGAGGCCTGGGGCCATGGCTCAAGTGATACAGGGCCTGCCTAGCAATTGCAGGATCCTGAGTTCAAGCCCCTGTACTGCCAAAAATAAAATCAATCAATAAATGTGGACATGCACAACACTGAAATGACCATCTATGCCACATTTAAGAGACACCCAAAATCACACTGAATGAAGTGTCACTTTTCATTGCCCTGGCAAAACCCTCCCACTGTAGTTAATCTCCTTCCCTGATCTATTGCTTTGGTCTCTGAAAAATTTACGTGGTCCTAACAGTTTAATTTTTCTTAACTTCCTTGTGTACAGACAGCCTGTCCTAAATGAGTGGGCACAAACATGTCTTTCTTCATGTATTTCATGTGGAAGAATTCCACTTTCAGTCCTAATTCATGCTTTGACGTATTTTTATATGGATGAGAGAAGTGAGTGTCCCCTTTATGAGACTAAGAGTCTTTACAATTTTCTTTTTTTTTTTTTTTTTGGTTGTGATTGAAACCAGGACTAGGAGAATAGTGGGCAAGTGCCTACTACAAGCCACACCCCAAGCACAAAACATTTCACCTTTTAAAATCACTTTCACTTTTATTTGACTTACAATACTCTTACGAAATACAAATAAAACTAAGAAATAATGACATCAAATGGTCAGTAGTAATAACTTCGAGTCACCACCTATCTCCTGACACAGTGTCCTGTCCATGGTCCTTAAGAACAGCCAAGAAAAATGCTTTGCTCACTGATGGCAAAGGCTTGGTTGCTGTGTTGGTGTGTGGGGGTAGCATCTCCTTTACCAGGGACTGACTTCTTCCTTGATTTCTTTTTAGTGACGGAAACTTCCTTGGGGATGGAGAATTCCCTAGGATTGCAACCTCCACACCAGACATTTTGTCCTCCACAAACTACAGAATGTCTCAACTCCTGCAGTAGCATGAATGCTCAGATACCTAAGAGTAACCAACCACTTGAACTTGGAGGCATTTCAGTAATAGCTCCAGTACAAAGTTCTATCAATATGGTGGCCTTGCCTCCAACTCTAAAGCAGGAACAAACAGAAGATGAGAATTTGTATAAAATTAAAACCAAACTTTCAAAGCCCCCAGATGCCTACCAGGTCACAACAGAAAATCAAGATTCTCCATTACTCTCTTTAGAAATCCCCGACATTCACCAGCTTCTGGCCTGCATTAATCCTTTGGGCCCAGAGGAGAAGCCTTGTTCTGAAAATGCCAGTTTAGGAAAGAATAGCCAAAGTGTTGGGGACAAAGTGACACTTGACAATGGTATTCAGTCTAGCAATGGTTTTGCAGACATTATAACATTGGTAGGTGATAATCACCTCCTGCCCATTTTCAAGTCATTCAGAGATGTTGACCAAATCAAAGTTCCCACAGCCATCAAAGACACAAGAGACATCAAGGTGAACCAGTTGCTGGAAAAGTCAAGTATTGTAAAGAGTCCAACTGACCAAAACAGAAAGAAGAAGGATGAAGCCTTCGAGCATATTGATGGAGCTCCTCAAGCCAAAATTCAGTGCCAAAACCCAGAGTTCTTGTTGAAGGGAAACATGGTTGTGTGCAGTGCTGCAGTCAGTGATAGGACTCCTGTAAACACAGCCAAGCATTTAACCAGCAAACCCCTGAAAGCTGCATCCAGCAGAGCCAGCCACCCTAACGGTCATGGACAGCAAGAGACCAAAAAGATCAGAAAAAACAACTCCAAGAAATCTGAAGAGAGTAAGCAGTCAGCAAACAAAGTGAAGGCAGAGAAGACAACCATTCCCAAGGTAAAGCGTAAGAAAAATCAACCTGAGTTTAGCCAGGAGACCTTCAAAAAGCCTCGAACCTACTTAGGCATGCATATGCTCGAGTCAGTGCAGGTTTTTCATGCACTGGGGAAGAAGAGTGATAAGAAAATTGGATCATCTTCCTGTTGGCCCCTGGGAAACTCACATAACATCAAAGGCTCCCAGTTTTCTTCAGCTATCAAATCACGGATGGATACCCCACAAGAGGGCAAAGGTCCTGAGAAAACTCAATTCAAAGTCCAGACACAAGAGAGCAGTGCTGGAAATGAATGTCCATCTCCATCCCAGTATGAGCTGCCCCCACCTGGGAAGGTCAAGTTGATACCTTTACCATTTCCAACTGTGGACAAGCCTCAACCTCGACCTGTTCCTCGGAGGCCACAGTCTCTTGCTTCATGTAGGCCCACTGCATCTTACCCTATCCAGCCTCATTCTACAGTAGTCAATGCATCTCAAGCAGCTAGTGCTAATAAATCTTTCATGAGTCCTGCCAAACCAACTCAGCCAATTTCAACCAATGCAAACCTACCGGGTTTGACCAAGTCTACCCAGTCTATCCAGCCTCGTGTGTCTCATTCTGCTGCTGTTAGGCCTGCACCTTACAAAACCTCATCTTGCACTTCTTTCCAGCGGGAGCCTGTTTCTACTGCTGTGTCCAAGCTCCAGCCACCACCTAAACCTCAAACCCAGTTTCTACTCCAGGATTTCAGCTTTCAACCAATTCCGTGGAGGAAGCCCAATGTTCCTGAGCCAGTACTGTCAAGCCCCATCACAAAAGAGCAGCGGCCAGAGCGTGAGGCCATGAAAAGGAAGGCTCAGCAAGAGCGTGAGCATGCTGCCAAGTACACTTCTTTGGGAAAATTGCAGTTTTTCATTGAGAGGGAAAAAGAAATGGAGATTTCTCAGTACTATGGCTATGTAATGTAACAGCTGTTAAGATTACTGGTAGTACTTTAGGTATCAAATGATTTTCACAGTATATGTAGATATAAATAACAGATAAGTATATTAAAAATTATATAGATAAAAACAAAGATTTGTGTATTTGACATATTTTTAAAACTTAATAAAATTAAACACACAAATGAAACAGAATAATAGATGAGTAATAAAGAGTTCTTTTGAACTTTGATATACTGCTCCATCTGGTTTTCTTTGATAGAGGTCGGGATCAAAGTCTACATTAGAAAGAAGGAACTGGAATTTGAATGGGAGAACAGGAGAGGGAAAGGGAAAGAAATGAGTTAATAGGAAGGAAGATGGTCCAGGAGGAGAAAGGTCAAAAGGGGGGAGATTATATGGGCTTATAAAAAGAATCAGGAATGGGTAAAATGACAAAGTCTGAGGTTGGGATTAAGAGAATAAAATTTGGAGAAAGTAAAAAATGACAGAAGATACATCTAAGTTGACCAGAAAAAAATGTAAAAAAAAAAAATCATTAATGGAGAACGGCCTCATGCCTCATGTCCCACCAAAAAAGCACTTTAGAAGGTAAGGTTCAGGGCAATTCCAACAGGTTGGGTTATCTATGATTAAAGATGGGGTCAGTGTATACAAAATATGGGTGAATCTACCACAAGAGTCGCAAGGGATCAGTCATCCTGGGGGCAGCTGATAACTTGGGGCCTAGCCAAGTGAACTGCATCAACTTGAGGCCCATAGAGAAGATGGCCTAGAATACAAATCACCACTTTCAACACTCATGCAGTGGTACAGCAAAATTTGTTACTTCAATTAACCTTCAAACACAGAAGGCCAGTATCACTGTTTCACTTTATTAGTGAGGTTCAGCAATGGACTGGGATTAGGTTACATGTACAGGAGCAAGCCCTCGAATTGAGGCCTGAGTCTCTTTAGCCTTCAGTGTTTGCAAGTGCCCATAGGCTTACAAACTGGCTTTCAGAGCACATCATCCAGAGGTCATAGGTGGATAAGATCAAAGTTCTGAAGGAAATGAAATCCTAAGTGAAGGGGCTGGATCATCCTTCACTGATCCTGGTGAGTGCTGCCTTCTCCAACCATTACCATCAACTGAAAAGCACAAGAAAAATGGGCTTTGGGAGTCCATGCCCACCTCAGGACAGAAGTGTTGTGTGTTCACAGTGAGTCACTTCCCAGGGCAGGGCACTGGCACCCAATGGTACAGAGGTACCTGGAGTCCTAGTGGGAGTGAGAGCAGGTAGCAGTCACTGTTGAACTACAGGAAAGGATTAGAGTAAGGGAAGGACATGGGGAAGCAGGTGTCAGTGGGGAAAAACTAGGAATTTAATTTTAAAAATTATTTCTTGAGATATAATTCAGCTAACATTAAATTCACCATTTGAAAGTATATAATTCAGTGGCATTTACTACATTCCCAAGATTTGCAACCACCACTACTATCTGATCCATAATACTTTGATTATCCCCAAAAGAAATGTGTCTAGTTTTTAGCAGTCATTCCCCATTCTGTCTTCTCTGATCCCAAACAACTACTAATCTTTCTGTTTGACTTTTTAGGCATTTCATAGAAATGGAATACAATATGTGACTTTTTATATCTGGCTTTCTTCATTTAGCAGACAGCTTTCAAGGTTTATCCATTTGTGTACATGGTGAGAGACCACCATTCCCTTTTAGAACTTCATATTGCTCATTTGTATATCGACCTATCAGTTGGTGGATATTTGGTTTGTTTTCCTTAGTAATTAACATGTGAGAGTTTATCCTGTGCCAAGTGGCACTTGACTGTGTATTTGCCTCTTTCACACATAAGTATATATAGTATCAAAAATTTGCCCAACATTAATAGCTAACAATTTGGAGTTTGGACTTTGAACTCTGGCATCAGGACTTCAGGGGCAATAGAGTCACATCAGAGAACTATTAAAAAGATATAAAAGGGTAATTAGTGGAAATTCACTCTTTTCCCTCAATTTCCCAGCTACCCTTTAACCCATTCCCTTAGAGACATCTACATTTACTACTGTGCAGAACCTTCCAGAGAAATTATATCCCCAAATATATCACAATTTATTGAATAATCTGCCCGACTGTTTTAAAATTTGACCTTTATAGTATGCTAAATTACTAAATGTACTTTCATTGCTCATTTCAGAATTTTCCTGGCTTTTTTGCCTTATATACTTGTCATTTCTTTTTTAATTTTTCTTTTTGAGATATGGTCTCACTCTGTAGCTCAGTCTGGCCTCCAACTCTAACTCTTCACCCTCCTTTCTCAGCCTCCCAACTAGTGAGATTACAAATGTACACCACCACACCTGCCTTGAGGATAACTCTTCTAGCCTCACAAAACTTTTCTTTTGGTTTTTTTTTTTTTTGGCTTTTTGGGTTTTTTTTATTGTTAGTATTCAAAAACAGTGTTCTGAGGTTTTTCTATCTGTTTTTCATCTGGTGTTTTATCTTTGTGTCTGTTGTTCCAGCAATCTCTCCTCTCTGCAGACCTATGTTCTGAAAAGGAGCTCTGGCTGCTCATTTCCAATAGTGTAGAGGGCAGAGTGCCTGAGCCCTTCAGCTGCCATCATGGGACCCTTCAATAACCACAAAGTTTTGTTCTAGGACCTCTCACAGATACCAAAATCTGAGGACGTTCATGTCCCTTACATAAAATGGGGTAGTACTTGCATAGATCTATCATACATCTTCTTTTATATTCTAAGTCATCTCTAGGATTCTTATTATACAAAATACAATGCAAATAGTTTTATGCTATATTGATTAGACAATGACCAAAAATCTGTATGTGTTCAATTCAGACACAATTTCTTTTCTGAAAAATCTGGGGTTTTTTGGGAGTACTAGGGTTGAAGTCAGGCTCTCACACTTGCTAAGCAGGTGCTCTACCACTTGACTCTCTCCACAAACCCTTTCTGAATACTTTAGATCCAAGTTTAGTGGAATCCATACATGCAGAACCCATGGACACAAAGGAACAACTATACTCACTTTGGGAATGGGCAAAATCCCTCATGGTTTCAGCCATTCCTCTCAAACTGGCCCACAGTGCTTTCCAAGGGACACCTTTTGGCTGTATGAGGACTTTTGTCTAACAATCCGTCTGGTTCAAATGTTGATGCCCACTGCTGGTGGTTTGCCACATCCCCTGGTTCTAGAGATTGATTTGGTCTCTATTCTTGTAGTAAATGCTACTGATTGGTTTTGTTTTCATCTTTTTCCATCAGAGGGACAGGGCAGATTCAAAACAGCATTGCTTCTTCCATCTTTCTGAAATCCTACTCAGTCTTTGGACATAATCATTTAAACTTGTGCTCTTTAGTTTTAAGCTTCCTGAAACAGAACTCTATTTTCCCTAAACCTGTTAAGATTTTGAGGTAGTCTGAGTATAGTGCTTCATGCCTGTATCCCAGCTATTTAGGAAGGAGATGCAAGGAATACTGTGAGTTTGAGGCCAGCCAAGGCAAAGGTAGTGAGACTCTATCTCAAAAACAAAATACAAACAAAAGGGCTGGGTTGTGGCTCAAGTGATAGCACTTGTCTCGCATGCTCCATCTCCTGGGTTCAATCCCCAGTATCAAAAATAAATAAATTTTTAAAATAAGCTTCTGTCTCCCCTCTGATGAATAAGGCATCTCATGTCTGTATTTGCTCAATCAATGTTTTGAATGAGAAGCCAAAACACAACAGCATAAGAGCTCATAGGGAGATGGAAGTGTCTGGTCACTTTGAGAAGGAATAAACTGCTGGGCAGGTGGAGAATCTGGAAGAAGACCCTACTCCTAAATGTGTATCTTTTCCTTATTTTTGCATCTACTTTTCTAAACATGTACAAAACTGAACTTATAATTTTCTCTCCTCCTCTTGAACACAAATATCCTGATCTATGCAGTTTTCATCATTTGGTTACTGGCTATGCCATCTCTCCAGTTGCTCAGGCCAGAAACCTTTGAGGTTATTTGACTTCTACCTTTCCCTCCCAACTGAGGGCACATCCAGAATTTCATCTGTTCTCCCTTCAGATTACACCCAGAACTTGTCCACTTTGTAGTCCTTTCCTCCACAATCACTTTAGAATAAGCCCCCACCATTTCCTGCCTGCATGACTGCAATAGCCTTCAAACTCAAATTTTCTAGATTCACCAAGTCTTTGGTGTCTCACTCTTAAGTCAAAAGAGATACTGACAGCCCCATTAGGGAGTTTTAGGTGCTAAGGATTTAGTAAGAATGCATGCCTGTAGTAGGCTAGATAGTGGCTAGTCAAAAAACCAGGTCCTAATCCCTGGAACCTATAAATCATATCATGTTTGGAAAAATAGTCTTTATATACATAAGAGAATTGAGGATCTTGAGAAAGAGAAATTATCCAGAATGTCATGGTGTACCGTAAATGTAATCTCATGTGTTTTTTTAGACAGGTTTTTACTATGTGACCTCCTAGGCAGGCCTCAAACTCATGATCTTCTTGCCTTGCTTCCAGAGTGCTAGTATTACAGGTGTGTACCACCATACCTGGCCTCATGTGTCCTTTTAAAATGAAGGTACATGGAGATTTAATAGTGAGAAAGAGGAGCAGGAAATGTGGAGGAGGCAGAGACTAGAATGATGCAGCCAACAGCCAAGGTATGCTAGCTACCACCAGAAGCTGGAAGAACCAAGAAATGCAATTTCTCTGGCCTGTCAGCACTGTGATTTTGTCCCAAACTTCTGGTCTACAGAACTATGAGAATAAGGTTTTTTTAAGCCACCAAGTTTTTGTTTTTGGTTTTGTGATACTGAGTTTGAACTCAGGACTTCGAACTTGCTTAGCAGGTGTTCTACCTCTTGAGCCACACCTCCAGCCCTTAAGCCACCAAGTTTGTGGTGATTTGTTAGATCAGCCACAGGAAATTAATGCTGCTGCAATTAAATAGCCATTTGAAAAATAATACATGTAAATTAAAAGAAAAGAATTTTACTTCATT